TGCATGGTTCTCCTGCTTACACTTAGAGCTGCATCCCTTAGTAGCTTTAAGGTAGATAGCCTTTCTGTTCTCTCCATCTGCCTCAGCCTTGTGGTCCTAAAAGCAGTTCAAGCTAAGAAGGGAGTGCATCTGCCTTATGCCAGTAGTCAGGGCAATTAGTAATAGCAGTTGTTTCTCCTTCTCTTCATCCTTCTCCTTCTACTCCTCCTCCGCTCAATGCTCCTAAAGCCTCTCTCACTGTGATGCAAGCAGGGCTCTAGAGACAGCTGTGGAAGTTCCCCATATTGAGGTAATTCTCTTCTGATTTCCTGTGGTTAAGACCTTCTGCACTTCTTTGCAAGGTTCTGAGAAACAAACCTTGGCAAATAGGAGAACCTGTCCCTTCTGTGTTAAAATTTTCTAAGCCATGTCGTCTAGTGGATTGTAATGGCATTGTAGTCAGTCTCTTACATCTGTAGTTGTTCCGTTTCTAAGTAAATAGAATTCAGAGTTTTGAACAAATTTACTGTGTTCTTTCATTTTTTTTTCTCCCTTCGTTTTATTTTCTAATGGAAAGTATATGTTAGTCATAGCAGTATCTTGTTGCAGAGTCATTTGGGAGAATCTATTCACTATTTTGAAAGTAACAGCTAGAATTTATTGCTGAGTTGAGGTGCATGTAAACCTTTGGATTACAGGAGAAGACAATGGGAATGTACTTTCCAACTGTCTGTGTTGGTCCTTTATTTCAGCCCAGTTAGTTGGTAGAAAAACTGGTTTTCATTTTGTCCCTTGATTTATTGATATTAACAATGAGTTGTGTTTTTTAAAACTTTTTGTAGCACTTGGATTTTTGTCCATATTGCCAAAATCAATTACCGAAGTCACGGATGAGAAGATGAGAGCACCCTGTGCTCTCAGATTAGTGATTTGTAAACTTGGCTGCGTTTTAGTGACCCTGCTTACCATAACTATGGCTTACTGGGACTGTGAGTCCTTCATCTCCGGTGACTTTCCAACTTGCAGATGCACCATGCAGGACATGGGATTTATTAAGTTGGGTGCAGAAGCATACACTGCTGAAGACTAACGTGGATTGAAAAGGTTCTGAAGCACAAAGAGTTTGGAAAATGCAATTCAGAGACACCTCAGGAGGCTGTCAGTGAGACAGAGGAACAGCATTACTGGCTTATCTGGATTTTTATAATTATCCAACATGTCACACCCCTTGTGACAAGACTATAGTTAGATACAGTGGTTTGGGTTGGAAGGGACCTTAAAGATTATCTGGTTCCAACCACCCTCCCATGGGCAGGGACAGTATATTCCGTTAGACCTAAATATGGTTAGAACTGAAAATTGATTTTCTTATGCCAATGTTCTGTAATTTTTCTTAAGTGTTCTGCTTCAAGGAAACTGAAATGTTTCATCTAAAACTTACTTTTCTTCCTTCGCTCCTGTGTACCTTTTTGCAGTCCACACTTTCCACTGTTTAATGTCCTGCATGTTCCCTGCTATTATCTGTCCAGGCTTCATGCAAAGCTGGTAAATATCTTTCTTTTGTACCTGTTCTTCAAACCTTTAATCTTCAAAGCTGACTTAGCACTGCTGGGATGGCTCTAAATAGGAAACATCTGCATCTCTGTAAAACTTGCTAATGTCTTATTGCAGTCAGTCCTCCTAGCAACACCATGTAACAGATTTGTCTAGTTTTTCCCTTTAGCTTTGTTCATTAAAAATATGCCAGTGCGTATTGTCTCATTTTTATATGCACATTCTCCAGCTCTCTACCTGGCTGAGGATAAAGTAGAAAGCTAAAAACTCTTTCTATTTTACTGTTGTTCTAAATTTTTAATCAGTATTTTAAACATTTTTGTAGTATAACTTCTAATCACTGTCATCCTAGAAATGGCATGTGTAGATAGCTTAGCTTTCCACCAGTGATAATGAGTTGACATTGGTTAGGCAAGAGGCCAGTGTGGTTAGAACCCTTAAATTATGTGTAAACTGTGTTTACAATAGTGAACCTCCCCTGCTTGGTCTTGCCCTTCTCTTTTGGACAGGCACAGGGTTTCAAACCAGCTGTGGGGCTGAAGGAGACGAGATGCTCATTGATCTTTAAAAAGCACAAAGCACAGCAGAAATGAGCTCTGCAGCTTTGTACATCAGGAAATTTCAAATATAGCCGAAAGAGCCCAGTTAAATGAAAAAGGAAAATTTTACTGTCATAATGAATTAACAGCTTCCAAGCAGTAAGTTTCAGGTTTTAGTTTGTTTATTTGTTCTTCTAAAATCAAGCTACAGCTGAGGAGACTCAATAATCTTGATTTTTATTAGAAATCCAAATGACATTTAAAAATTAATACATTTCATGTAACTTAATTTACACAAAATTGTCTTCTAGTAAGAGGCTGGTCTGTTTATTATTTCATATCACTCTTCTTTCCCAGAGGCTTTCATGGAAGCATGTCAAACCATTATAGAAAATAAAATTCAACAAACGTGCGCGCGTGTGTGTATATATAATTTACTAGGGCAGGAGTCTGCGCTCACACAAGGGAATTAAATCAATACTCTCCAAAAGATGCTTCAGAGCAGAGCGCTGCTGTGCACAGCAGGGCTCTGGGTGGCTCTTGGCTCTGTGTTGTTTGGCTCTTCCAGGGTGGTGGGCAGTGGCTCGGAGCTCCGTGCATAGGAAAACCTGCACACAGCAGCAGTCTGCATCGTGCTGCCTCTCGCCTGCCCCGGCCTCTGACCCTTCCAGTACAGTTCAGCTGGGTGGCATCAGACCAGCAAAGCTTTTGGCCCCTGTACAGATGTTTTATATAGACACACCTTAAAAAATCTGGGAGTAATTTGCCACATGGATCAGTACGTAGTGTAATCTGGCATATATGACAGATCAGATATGGGTGGCTGGACGGAGAGGTCTTAGCACCTCTTTTAAAGTAAACCTCAGCTCAGCAAGTCGGTCATAACTTAGGAAGTGTCAGAATGAAAGCTTCCCCTGTGTTTCAGCATGACCTGCGTTTGTATGTGTTGGAATAGTTGACATTACTATTTAAAGGCTTTGGGTAGTGTACTTCTGTATGTGTTACAAAAGGTACTGACTGAACAGCTACTTAATATTTTATTCTATTCTTTGTTTTCAACATATAACTCAAATTCCTGACTGCCTAACACACAAACCAATAATAAATACAGTATTTTGTATTTTCTTCGTGTGGTTTCTAGTCATACATGTAACACTTGAGTATTTCACAGACAATGGTGAAGTTGTCTACATAAAATCCCTTTGAGGAAGAGACATACATTTATTTTTCAAGCAGGAACATTGGTACATACTGTCATAATTGTCAAAACTGAAAATCAGCTGTGGATGTGCAGACTGAACTTCAGGTGTCTCATACTAAGCACCCAGAAGGTGTGGGGGAAAAAACCTGTTTTGGAAAAATATTCCTTGACTTGGTCAGCATCATAAAGGAGCACTGGAAACAAACAACAACTTGCTGGCTAAGCTAACCAGATTTGAGTGAGATTTAGAAGCCTCCAAAGCTCTTAAACCTTTCATTAAAAGTGGCAGTGGGATGGAGAAGACGGGTCCAGACGAGTACCCTTATGAGGACAAGGCTGGCACAGGTCCACGGTCGTATATTTGGCAGCTGCCTTGCCAGTAGCACGTGCTGAGCTCTGAACTACTCACCACATGTCTGTTGTTTGCTGAGGTAGGACGTGGGGTGAAGGGAAAGCTGGGGGCTAGGGAGGGAGTTTGGAAGTAAGCCAGAGGATGCCAGTCTGCTTGTCACTGCAATGCCGCACCGATTCCTCTGCTTTACAGAGCAGCTTGGTTCTTTGTTCAGTCCAGAGCTCTGTTTTCCTTGCATCTGCCTATTCTGACATAAATTAGGCAGGGAATAGTGTGGCAGATTGACCCTTGATTCTCAGTAGTAACCATCGTGTGTACTTACTCAGATGTTTTCTCTGGAGGGGAAAAAAAAAAAAGGCATAATTTAATTTCCGATGCATCGGAACACACAAGCATGCACAATAGGAGCAAGTTGAAACACCACAGATAATCTTAATGCCGTTATTTCTAACCATTCTTTCCAAGTGGTCAAACTGTTCCTCAGCTTGAAGATGCTATATAATTAAAAAGACAAAAAGTAAAATTACAAGAAAGGACAGAACTTAATATGTGAAATTATACTGACCGTTGATAGTGCCTTCTCTGGTTTTCATTGTTAATGCTGATGGTTATTCCGTTAGCTCTAGTAACATGTTGCCTTCAGTGCACATCAGACGCTGTGGAGAAACTGAACCTGCAATCCAGTGGGTTTTGCAACTGTCTTTAAATTTCAGAGAGACGTGGGCACAAGGATTCTGACTTCTGCTCTGTGTCAGAAAAATGAGAACAGCATAACTCAGTCAGAACAGACACATACCTAGACCTACCTGCTGTTTCTGTTGGATTAGTGAGATACCTAAAGAAGAGTATAAGGTGACCAGATGGTGCTATTTTCATGGTATGCTCCTTCAGCCTCCCAGTTTATGTAGCACAGAAAGGTCTTGTACCACAGGTTGTCACCGGCTAACAATTGATTTTTTTTCTTCTAATAATTTTCCGGACCGTGTATTGAATCTGCATAGATTTTAGCTGGCAATCCTATAAGTCTATAGACTTATAAGCAAGGTATTTCAGAGTTTATCTGTCGTCTGAAGGACCTTTTTTAATTCTCTCTTCCCCAACTCCAAAGAGCAGCAGAAGCAGATGTGTAATGCAAAACAGTTCGTGATTCACCCGCAGAGTGCTCACTTCAGGTGTTTTATTTCAGAGTAGCTCCAGTCTGACTTCTTGTCATGCAAGCATCTATGACAGCTTGGAGTACATTTTTTTTATTTAGTTGTATTGAAAATTAATCCAGTACTATGCAGTCTAGGACCAGACACGAATAAGGTTTATAGATAGGGATGTCTAGAAGTTTAAGTTGAAAAGTCCCTGTCTGATCCAGACTAGAACACCAATGTGGGCACATCTGCTGGAGGAGGTGATTGCTGTCAGAGTAGGAGGGTTTTACTCTTTCTCTCGTGCTGAGGAACTTGGCCCAATAACTCAGCAGAATCATGATCCAGGAAAGGAAAGGAATATGAATTCGCGGAACAGGTAATCAAGGAAGGACTGAATAAATGAGATAAAACTTTCCTAGGGAAAACTGCTTGGCCGATGGCTGGCATAAAATTTCCAATCAAATGATACAAGGTTTCCCAATTTACAAGCAAATAAGGCAGGATCTTTAAAGTATCAGGTAATTTTCATGGCTGAATCGCTTCTGGACATTTAATCTCTAAATAATTTTTTTATATACAATGGAAGAACTGTAGAAAGTTCTGAAATTCTTCAAAATTATTGTTTGTGAAATGGGTTTGTCTCTTCATAAAATTCATTAAGAACAGGAACAGCTATATGATTTCAGTTATCAAGGAAAAAGAGAAAGTAAAGTCCCATTAATGAAAAGTGTGTCTTTGTTAATGCAGAAGAAAATGAAAAATTTTTTATAGATGTACCGATGAGAATCAAAAGTCTCTTATCTTGCATAGTGAGAGAAAAAGTAAAATGTAATAAACTGATCCACGGATGTGATACTTTCACAGACTCATCTAAACAGATATTATGACTTTTGCACACATAAGACGAGAGATTACTTTGAGATGCATATGAAAAAGGTGTTGGTGATGCAAGTCCTTAATCTGCTACATCAGTTGTAATTCTTCAATTTTAGGGTTTTACTCCTGTTTTCCTTTGAATCATTTTTATGACCTTATGAATAAAGATTTTATTCTAAAATGTTAATCATTACTACATAACGGTACCAACTTGATGCATGTGTAATAACTTCAAATGTGATGCATTTTTGCATACTTATCTCCTTACATGTGTTGTGAATTTAGAATTATAATATAGTATGTTTATTTTTAGTACACCTCCTGATAATCTCTCAATTCAAGAATTCCAGAAGAATGAGAGTATTGATGTAGAGGTAAGGAGACTATAATAAATCTACTGTTAAACATAATGAGATAGGGACATTCACAGATTGCATTAGGGTCTGAAATATTTTTTTGAAAAGTTATTCAGTATTTTTTTCTGTGTTACTGTTTTTCGTTTTGAAAACAAGACAGGAAATTCATAGGCTTAGAATTCAGCTGCTTCTGAGTTTCACAAAAAGTAGGAAATGGCATGCCAGAAACTACTTCTTGTTCTCTCAAGTTCAAAACAGCATAGAGTCACTAAACCAGAATGTGTCTCTGCCTCCGACCCATTATCTTGATTCTTAACTATTGTGTTATTGCCAAGCAGTTACATGGGTAATTGTAAGCTGTGGAGGAAGCTGACAATTAAGTGAGTGCTATCTGTGTTAAGTCCCCTTGGCATTCAGTCAGCAGTGACGTTGTTGCCCTCCAGATGCGTTCTCAATACTGAAAAGCTTCTGCATAAATGAAGAAATGATGTCTTATTTGTGCAGTACAGAGACCACTGTAATTGTAAAAGAGATCATATTTGGTTGGATAAGGGCAAAGAGAATTAAGAGAAGGTGATATTTGGAATGAAAGAGGGACTGGTTCCCTTTCACCCCAGGACAAAGAAATGTTGCAGACCAGGGATTAGGTGTACAAAGGAGTTGCAGAGATGATACGGCAGCATCTGTAGGTTTGATCGTGTGTCATCTCTCCAGAGTGGCAGCCAGGACACAAAGATTTCTGGATGAAAAGCGGGGACTGGTTCTGTCTGCAGCGAGCAGAGCTCAGAGATCTAATGCATTAATTTAGGGAGATCTAAACCCGCGTTGTTCCTGAAAAGGAGCATCAAGACCAAGGATAGAAAACATTTCAGTTAATGTGCATTATTTCTTAAGCTCGTTTAGATAATTAACTCACCTGTTCTGCTTTGCAGATGTCACATTTTAATCATGTGATATATGGGTTAATTTCATAGTGAGGATATTGAATTGGGCGGAGGGAGAGGGCGATTCCTAATGTTAGACCTTCTCTTTTTAAAAGCGTAAATTCGATTTGAAGATATACTTGATATGTCAGTGGAAATCTAAGTGATAATTGCTTCCGAAACTCTTCACAAAAGTGGGGAGAAAAAAATTTATTATTTAAAGTTTAATATTAAAGGCAAGACCACAAGTTTTGGACATACCTGCAAATTTTAAAAGCTAGCATTGGAAGATTTTCTGAAGTTTCATTAGGCTTGTCTCTTTTATTTAATGTTTCTGTCTTCTTCATACTAGAATTACAACTTTAATATTCAGAAAACTAATATAAATAATTTAATTTATTTTAGGTGGTGCAGCTTATCAGCACAGAGATACTGCCATATGCTAATTTTATTCCTAAGGAATTTGTTGGTCAAATAATGACTATGCTCAATAAAGGCTCAATACATTCTCAGTCATCTTCCTTTACAGGTACGGTACCTGAATGACAAAAGATACGGTGTTTAAATCAGCTAGAAAGTAATGAAAATGTTGAGGGTACTTACTCTGATAAAGTCTTGAAGTTCCATGGCATGTATTCGATATAGACTGTTTGATATACAGCTTGTTTTTATAAACCATATTTTATTTCATGGAGGCTGCCAAGCATTCCTTACAAATTTTAATTTTATTTTTTTACTTAGTTCTTGGTCAGTATTATACATAATACTGTACTTGTGTTACTTTATACTTTCAACATAGTTGGCTTTGCATTGTACCAGCTGAAATAGTTCTAACAATAATTTCAGGCAATTCTAAGGTAGTCATGATATCCTGTTCTTAAAAACTAAATGACCTTAGCATAACTATATGGTGTACCTAACCAGATAGCTTCCTTGCCTTTAAGAAAAAAACATTTTTAGTTTTTTTGGGAAAAATGAAGAAAAATGGACGTAAGCCTTTACAGAGAAAAATACTTGGATTGTACAATACCAGGTATTATTCCTTATGATGTACAACTGGAATTGCTGGGATTTATTTTAATTGATTTCATATATTTTATTATTAAAACAATGTCAAGTAGGTGACATATTGCTGAATGTGTTGCATATTTTATCATCTATATTTGGAACTATTGTGATGGTTGCACAGTCACCGTTTCTTAACATGTATTCTTAATATTTGTTCTTTCCACTCTTAATCTTTTTTAATACTAAAGGAGCCATAACCTTTTTGCAAAATATAATAAACTGATCAAAGTGCAACATTTAGTGTATCAGCATGCATGCTTCACAATTAAATATGACATTTTACTTTGACAGAAGCCGAAATAGATATCCGAATGAGAGAGGAGTTTTCTAAGGTGTGTTTTGAAACACTGCTCCAGTTTTCATTCAGTAATAAAGTCACAACTCCTCAGGAGGGCTACATCTCTAGGATGGCACTTTCTGTGCTCCTGAAAAGGTCACAGGACGTGTTGCATCGCTACATAGAAGATGAGAGATTGAGTGGCAAATGTCCTCTTCCACGGTATGTATGTTGTCTTTAGGAAATGAAAGGTATTGCCAGTACTTTATGAGAGGCAGGTTCCACTCAAAATACCACTCAATAGCAATGTGACTTAGTAACTAACATTTTCAGTTACTGGAACAATGTTTTTGATACCTAAAGCATAATATTTCTGAAATTTCCCTTTATTCCTAATAGAGCTATGTATAGTTTCTAAATTGAGAGGTTGACTCTCCTCAAAAATAAGATAAAATGTCCAAACAACAATATTGTGAGTCATTGCTCATGTAATTTTTCTCGAAACAGAAAAATTGACCAAAGTATCAGGAAATTATTTTAAATGGGAACTTACTTAAACTTCACTTAACTTTTGAAGGTTTTGATCATGAATGGTGAAATTGATGATTTTCATGCTACAGTTAATCATGTACATGAGTATTTGCAGATTGAGACATGTATGCCCTTACTGTTTCTGGTGTCAAATTTAAAGCTAGGATAGCATACACAACAGCAGTGATGGTGGGAAAGTTAAAGACAACTGATAACCTTAACCTTTAATTATCCTTTTTTTTGTAGGCTTCATTACAGCTGTTTCATTAGGTGTTCTTTTAATGTTTTGGTAGAAAACCTCTATTCTCGAGACAAAAATGAGTAATTGACTGTTTTCATTTTTTCCCTTTATAGGCAACAAGTAACAGAAATCATATTTGTTTTAAAAGCTGTCAGTACTCTCATAGATTCACTTAAAAAAACTCAACCTGAAAATGGTAAGTTATTGTTAACAACATGGTTCTAAACAAAGTATCTGCCACAAATACATATTATTCTTTCCTGTAGTAATTTTCACACAAATTTGAAAGAAAAGTGTAATCTGTAAGATTCACATTTTATAAATCTGTGCATATGTAGATGTCAGGCAGACTGAACAAAAACCCAAACCATGAAGTTTTTTCAGTATACCTAGAAGTGTGAGTGTAGGAAGATATGTTTAATAAAAGGGGGAACTTGCATTTATGTAGTCTTTTGTTTGATATAACTCAGTGTCTTCTAAGAAACAAACAAACAAACCTTCCATAAAATGTTAATAGAAATCTTAAATATACATAGTCTTGCTAGATCCTTTTTCTTCTTTGTCTTCTCATGATATCTTCGTAGGTCTCTGTTTTCATGTAGGTGCACCCTACAACTAAAGGTGTGTACAAGTTAAACACATGGGCAGGCTCTTAGATGCTTAAACTTGCTGTCTTGCTTTCCCTCCCTTTCTGCTCTGGTACATCCTTGTCCCTGGCATCAAGAAAGACGTCATTGATGCCCACGTAAATGGTTGACAGATGTATTTAAAGGTCTGAATTAAATGAAAGACGTCATCTTCATTTATAATCCTGTGCGTCCTGTAAGCTGCACCTATTGTATGCACAGAGAGTTCCCACTAGAAAACTTAGCCAGGAGTCTTAGCTAAACCAGCTGTACTAGACTCTGAAACTCTTGACAAAATTGTGTATCCCTCTACCTCCTTGCTTTTGATATTATAAGAGACACGAAAAATACTTTTTAGTATTGAAACAAACCAACCAACCAGCCTCTCCAGGACAACACAGGCAGGTGGGTTCCCTGAAAGAGGCAGTGCCTCACCTGCAGCATCACTGAACAGCCAGATTGATGCTAATGTGATTTCCAAAGCTTCGGGCAAAAGCCTGAGGGCAGAGCTATGCTAAGACACATAAAGTCTTTTGGCGAGCCCTGCAGGCAACTGAAGTGCTATTTTGGTGGCCTTTCTCTTGGAGGGGTAGAGTAGCCAACTCAGCTGGACTGTTCCCCACATCCTTGTTGCAATGAAATTCTTCACCTGATCCATGTATGGCAGTGATTGCCAAACATCCTGTGTGCTTTCTTATGAAGAGGACCGGTGGAAAAATTAGAGAATCACTTTATTCTCCCTTCTTCTAGCTTTCAATCATTTTATTTATTTAAGAAAATTATTAACATTGTCTGAAATCAGGATTTTGTTCTCTTTTGAAAACAGAACTAAAACAGATAAGCAAGGAGGACACACATTAAATAAGATTTATGCTACAATGTTTAATTTCACTTGTTGGACTAACAAACTTTACCATGGATATTTTTCTGTCCAGTGTTTTGTCCAGTGTTTCTCCCTCTGCTTTCTATAGCTCTTGTAACCTGGAATTATTTTAAATTAATAAAAGGCCTCATTGCTGACAAGTTTCCAAAAGTGAAATGTGTGTCCAGTTGAAATTTTCTGTCAATAGCTAAGAAAAGCAGGCAGAAAATATATGGGTATTGCAGATTTAATAAAAGCATTATCTTCAATTTATCAGTTTTTCATCCAGAAAACACAGTGAATGACTCATGTGTGGAAACACAGGTGTGTAGCACCATTTTATGGATATCCCATCTGGCTTCCAGCTGCTGCTGCAAAAAGGAGCATGGCTCTCCTGCAGAAATCCTACATCGTATCTGGGAGCCCTGCACAGATGTCATAGTGTCTATACAGCGTTAGGAACCCAGGTTAAACAGGCACCCAGATGTGCCCTTATTTATATAGCTATGGAAAAAAATGGATTATAAGAATTCGGACAGTAGTAAGTGATTCAATCTGCTCTTTTCTTCGTTGCAGTTGATGCCAACACATGGGCACAAGTCATTGCCTTGTACCCGACGTTAGTAGAATGTATCACCTGCTCATCCTCTGAAGTGTGCTCTGCTCTGAAAGAGGCACTGGTTCCCTTTAAGGACTTCATGCATCCACCAGCATCCAAGGTACAGAATGGAGAGTGTTGACCCCATAAAACTTTTTTTTTTTTTCTAATTCTTGAAGGAAAAAAACCAAACCGTATCCAAAAATGTTTGTCCCCGGGTGAAGTTTCTCTGAGGAAATCTCTTGTGTCTAGTACTTTGGCAACCTGTGCTGACTGCCTTTTAACTGTACTTGCAAGAGCTCAGTAATTGATGAATACCGGCTGTATCTCAAAGGTTCCTGAGTGAGTAGCAGTGCAAACGTTTAATAAACTTAACTGGGTAGTTGGAATCATTTATAATCTAATGTACTTGCTACAGTATCTTGAAGTGGTGATTGAAAAGTGGGCTTATGTACAGCTTGTTGTGTATGTGTTAATGATGTAATTAAAAATATTTCAATTCAGTCAGATTTATTAGGCTGGTGTTTTGCACCCTTTTTTTGAAGTACGAATTGTACTAAAATTTTATGCAAGATGGTACTGTAACATTCCATATATCTGTAACCAGCCTTTGTAAACAAAGGGAACTGATATACTTGTGTGTATAATAAATGGTACAGTTCTGTATAAAATAGTTGCATTTATTATTTAAATTCTTTTTAAAATATTGATAATGTTAAATGCTTGAAAATGTATTTATTATAAGTTGTATGCTTGCATTTTTACTTAAGGTTTGCCTTCTCAATTGCCAGATATGCTCTTTCATATCTGATCATGTTGTTAAGTTTTTGCTTAATTGAATGTATCTTCTCTGCGGCCACTGGACATCTAACAAAGGGTCATCTGACGAAAGATTGCAGTGGGCGGTCAGCAGTCTGCTGATCCCAAACTTCAAAGTAGTTGACCTGAAATAAGTTTGAATATGCAGGAAATCCACTGTAGCACTTAAACACTACCGTACCTCACTTCATCATACATTTGTTTCAAGATGTTTGTTCTACGCAACTCTATCCATTTTTGTAGTTGCGGCCTTGCTTTAAAAAAAAAAAACCCAACAAACATATTTGAGGGTTGTTCGCCTTTTTCTGATTTTCTTTGCGGGTATCACAGTCTTTGAATCATGACCCAAGAAAGGTGATTTCAAATATCTGAAATACTTGGCTGTAATATTTTGTTCAATAATTTTAAGTGCTTTGTTTTGTAATGTCTTTTCAACCCAAACAATTTGTTCTAATCTTTTAATTATAAACTGCATCTGATATAAACCCATGAGAAGTGTATTTTTGAAGATAGTTACTCATTTAGATGTGCAGTATAACTTGTCATTAAGTAAACGAATTTGTTTCACATAATACACAATTGAAGCAAAACACTTTTAATGGTATTGTTTTTAAAGTATGTGACTTAGCACTTAAACTCTTATTTAAGTATTATTTGAGTAATGTGTCACCTGTAATCACATATTTTTAAGCTGTGATGTGAAAGCACAAAGGCCAAATGTTTAAAAAAAAAAAAAGTCAGGTGCCTTTCTATGGATTTCAGAGCTTACCTTTAGGTTTTTGTTCCTGAAAGTCTTTTGTAGATATTAAAAGAGATTATCATACATAAGAAATGGTATTATATCTGTTTAATTTACACTTTCCTTACTAAAGGTACACGTGAATAGCTATATAAAAGTTGTAGGAACTGCAAGTTGAACTGGTCAGGGTTAGAAATACCCTGCATGAATAATGTTACAGGAGCATGGCTTTGAACAGCTTGCTCACATAAAGGTCCAGTTTATGGTCTTTTTTAAAAGCTTTCTTTTTCAAAGTACAGTAAATATTAAAGAGGCTTCAAGACCTTGCAAGTTTCTCTGTGACTAGAGTTGCATGGATCTTCATCGTGAAGTGTGAGTAGCTTTTAGAGAACACCCAGATTATGTTAAGGAAGCAGAACGCTTCTCGTGAGCAGAATTTATGTCAAAATAGCTGCTTTGAAGGAGCAGTTCCAGAATACAGCACAACCGGGTCCCACATACAGATAACAACGTTATCCGTACTCTCAGAGTGAAAACGTGGCAACTGCTCTTCTCATTAGTAGAAGATAAGTCAAGGTGTATGAGGTCATTAAAGAAACAAAGTATAGCACAGGAAAGAAGGGTATTAATTTGGTTTAGAATATATTATCTTAACCAGGATTTCTGGGAAGAGGAGGTGTGCAGACCAAACTGTGGGTGAGTTTGTTTCTAATTAGTTTCTAATTGTTTTTTCAGTGATAGCACAGATGCATTCTGTCCAATGAAGCAAATCTTCTGCTTTATCTGTTTTTTAAAAAGGAGGTATATAAGTCTTTCCTTACTCTAGAGCTTAGACTGCTTTACCACCTATGGACATTAATCTTCAAAAGGTTTTGAAATAAACTACCAATGAGCTAACCTTCCTTCCTTTTCTCTTAATTACAAACTGAGTAATTGCTGTACTATTTGAGGCGTGTTTTGGACATGCAAGCTGAGATTGACCGTATTCAGACTGCTTTCTTGCATTTTGTGAAAATAGCTTGAGAAGTAAACGCTACTTAGTTTAGGAAAGATTGAGACCTCATTGACTAATCTTGTCTGTGAATAAGAATTATTCTCCTGACTGTGCCTTCTTGTCCAGCACTTAAATATTTCTTGCAACTTGACCTATCAGTTTCTTCTTTCTATCTGTATTTTTTTGCTAAACATTTTTAGAGCTTATTTGATGCAAATGACATTTCTGAATGTTTATATTCCACATTTTTACATATTTCTAGCAAGGTGGAAATCTTGTTCTTGAAGAAATTTGATTTAATTTAACTTTACCTATTGAGTAGACCCATGTCCAAGTTCTGATCAAGTCTATAGGGTTGCTTAGTGATGAGAAATAAAACACGTGGACATTTTCAGGGTTGGGGTCTGCATTGTGCCACTGAGATCAGCTAGAAAAGGGGTACATCTGACTGTATAGAGATTTGTCAGCTGGACGTTAGAGATAAGCATTAATTACTTATCGAATGTAACCACAGTCTGCACCTTTTTTCTTCTTCTCCACAACTTTAAAGACAACATAGATTGGGAAGCCAAAGAGGAAATGTGAGCATCTTACAGACTAACAGAAGGTTTATATCGAGATTTTGGATTACTTGGGAAAACTTGTATGTCTCAATGCCAAGACCATTGACTTAAGATGATAGTAACTCTGAGAAAAAGGAACACATGGCTCAAGCTGGGGACTTTTTATAAAAAGTCTTACTTTTAGAAGTAACCTACAGTAGTTATTTGCTTATCATCAGAAATGCTTACATAACTGGATGTCCGTTTTGTTCCCTTGTACGTGTGCCTGCCTCCCCACCTGCTTTATTGGCGATCTGTGGAATGTTATGGGACATTAAGCCACGTGAAATACATGGTCATTGTTAGTTATTTACAAGAGCAAGTAGGAGCACGTCTGTGAAACTGAAGTAGTTTATCATCGTATTTTGCAGTTTTATTTTTTTCACCCAGGTTTAGTTGTTTCATCTTGCCAAGTGGCAAACCTTCTCAGAGCTGGCCTTGAACTCTTCAGGCGAGATATTTTTAGGGAGGTTAATCTCTTTCTTTTCCTCAGCACATGGCAAACACAAGTACCAGTCATCAATGCGTTCTACAGAAATTCATTTAGAAGTTCAGGATACAACTCTTCTTTGGGGAAAAAAAAAACCCAAACATGTTTTCTCATCTGTTTCTGTACCGCTCGATTCTGTGTCTTTCGCTAGTTGTTCACCTCAATTTGCAGCTTGCTACCCATTTCCTGCAGGGGCAGGCATCTCCTACAGCCTTCACCTTGAATCCTTGTGAAGGCTCTACAAGTGGCAGAAGGAATTGCTGTGCACAGTTGCATTGGAAGTGGTGCTCAGCCTGACTACATGACTGTAAGGCTGTTTGGAGTGCAGAGTGTCAGAAAATTACAAGTAAGGCAGGTAGGGTGCAGGTTTTGTTTAAATTGGGATCCAGACTAGCATACTGGTATGGCCCGCATCTGTACACCTTTTAATTTCCCTCAGCAAAACAGTTATTGGTAAAATGTTTGTATTCCCTGAGAAAAGCAAATTTTCAAGAAGTAGTTAGTTGAACTAATGCATAGCTGAAAAGACTTTCTTCCTAAAACATTGGCTGATAATAACTTCTAGTAAGTTTGTGCTTTAACAATGTGATAAATTTTAATGCATTGTACAGTGTCTTCAGAAGCTGTAGGTTAGCTTAATTCCTATTTCATTGTGTTCAGTGGAGGTTCTACTGTTTGATGTCACAAGGGGAAAGAAAAAATTATCGTTGCCGTCTCAAAAGACCCTAGTCGACCACATCTAAATTATTTGGAATTTCCTCAGTTCTAAAGCCTCAGACTCTAGTAACTTACAATATATTAATAATTCTTGGAAGTTAATTTCAGATTACATGGTGACAGTGCTAGGATATTCCAGCCGTGTCCTTACGCATAGCAGTGAGTTCTGCTGTCACACCCCTTTTTTTTTCTGTTTCGGTGGGATTTTTTTTACTTCATGATAATGCAAGAAAAAATTCAGAAGAATTTCATATTGGAGTTGAGACAAAAGCATTCTTCTGTAGTATCTTTATATGCCACTGTATTCACAACATTCTTCTTCTAGTGTTTTTGAAGTTTTAGTTCTTCTGACAAAAGAATGTAGACCTACATATATAGTTCACTTTATATGCCCTAGTACTCATGTACATTTGAGACCTTGGTTATTGTAACAAAATGTGGACTAGCAATTCTAGTCGGGTCTCTTCTGTTTTCTTCTTCACCTGAAACAAATTGTAGCATGCCTTGTAAAATATGGCTTAGCCTTATTCTGAATGTTGTCTGTCTAGATGTAGCTATAAGGGAAGATCTACAGAAATTCTAGTTTGTTTTTTCTTTAAAATAATATTTTGGAAACTTACTAGATGTGAAATAAACTATATAGGAATAAATCAAGGAAAAATATTAACAACATGTCACCTTCTGCAGTCATGTGGAATAAAAAAAGTAAATTCTTCATAATTCCTATTTTGTTTAGGCACTGGGCCATGAAAGTGTTGAGGTCCATGAAGTTACACTGTGCGAGCAGTTAAGGCTCCTGTAGCAGTTATTTATCCTGTGGGACTGGATATCTAGTGGAAGACTAAATATTTCTTGGGGAAGCAGCGTGAATTGTTACTGCTTCACACCTGTGTCAGCAATGGAAAAAAAAAGCCCAAGTGAGGCATGAACATCATCTATCTAAAAGGCTTTGTGCTCTTTCTTTGGACTTTGAGATAGTTTTCAGTCGTTCCACATGTAGCACTCTAAAATTCTTTGGTTTCTCTGAGATTTCTTCATTTTACTGTTCAGATCAGGAGGACCTCATGAGCCATGTATGTAAGCAAGAATTCATTCCAAACAGATAGTTCCTGGTTTCTCTTTTTCATTTAGAACAGTTGGTTACCGCTGGGTCATGAATGTTGCTTAAGCTCTGCAGAAGAGTCCTGTGATGAGCTTTTACCACTAAGAAGCAATCTGGTAGACATCTTGTTTCCTTTCTTTCTCTCCAAACTAGTTACGGACTGGCTTAAGACAGGAATCTGTTCATGAACATTTGTCTGATCTCTTTAAGTGACTTAGCTGTAAGCACTTACTAACCCTTACTACATTATCACTTACTATTTTGCTATCTGATTTGTTACTTTAAGACACTGTTTGTTGAGGAATAATCAGATACACCAGTGTTCTTTCTTTCTCCACAGATTTTCCACCCCTGTTTTCTGACAATACTTTTCTGTGTGGAATTTTCTTCAGTTCTGAGTTTGGAGGGTGGGGACTGTTTGTCTAGACGGTATTTTGAATATCAGGACAAGTTCCAGTCCAGAAAAAAAATGACTGTAAACAGTCTGTGCAGCACATAGACTGCATTTGGGGATTAAATACTCTTTAAGGTCCACAAGTGTGTTTCAATGACAAACGATATAACCATAGTGCAGCTGTGGTATTACTTCTCGATTGCTGGAAAGTGTATCGGACAAGGCTGCTCATTCTTTGTGAAGAAATACGATAGAGCGCAAAAATTTGCTTCTTACAGTCTAGAAGTTCTATTTAGTTGAAAACACGAGAGATAATGATGACAGCAGGCATCTGCAGAAAAAAGAATGTTTGGATTTTGAATTACACAGAAGCCTTTCACCCAAAATGGCAACACAGCATGAAAAGCAGGAAGAGGAAGCTGGTGATTTTTGGAACATAGAAATGGTCAGGAAGAAGGAAGCTTTATATGATAGGTTAAGCTTAAAAATCAGTTAAGTGAATCATATGAACCTTCAAATTGAACGAGAACTGGATGATTAGGCAGTGGCTTTTTGTACTTATAATGTGAACGGGCAGCATGTTACGGAAGAAGATCTACAAGGGACATAAAGAATTACATACAGTCTACAAGGGACATAAATATTTCCTCTTTCTATCCTCTGAAGTCACTTAAAAATTA